GTCATCAGTTGTGGTATGATTTCACCCTGTTTCCGAAGATCCTCTAGTTCCTATAGAAAGCAACAGAAAAATACAGAGTTTACATTATCATAAAGGTGAGGAGGAGGAGGAAGAATAACATACATATACATGCAAACACATAGGCTAATCTTCAGGAAAATACGAGGTGTCCAAAATTATTTTTACAATTTCATTTCTATATACAATTGAAATTGTAAAGATAATTTTCAGACACACTAAGATCAGACTTTAAGGAAAGTGGTCTTGTTAAATTAGCTTTTGAGGAGAAGAAAAACAGAGAAGGTTTACACTACCAAAAGAAATGATTAATTAATATATAAATGAGAAAGTAGCATATCTCAAAACTAGACCCAAATCATTTTTTCTGGCACTTTATCGCAATTTTGGCACAATATTCCCACAATCTGGAAAGTGGTGCTATTTTTTGCTTTAATTTTTTGCATCAAAATACATATAGCAATTCCTGGATATAAAAATATTATGTTACACAAATAGAACATGTACTGGAATAATAATGGAACCCAAAGATATAGCCGTGTTAGTCTGTAGAAAGAGTATGCAGAAACATCTTGTAGATCTTGAGACTAACTAAAGAAAGAAGTTGGCAGCATGAGCTTTCATGGATTTAAGTCTACTTCCTCAGATGCATTTGGAATAATCTGGAATAATAATAGAAATACCTACAGTTAAATGAAGATCTTTACCCAAAATAAAAATGATGATCCATGCTTGTATGGACCATCTGATGGTCCATACAAGCATGGATCATCATTTTTATTTGGGGTCCAAAGATCTTCATTTAACTGTAGGTATTTCTATTATTATTCCAGATTATTCCAAATTCTACAGTGTTTACACAACATCCCAAATAAGCAAAATGGAACTGCTAGAGTGAGGAAGAGGGAATTCTCTGCATGCAACACCCTAGTGTGCACACATGCTCTAGAAGCATCAATATGCACCATCAAAAAGAGTCCATTGGTGTTCTGACAGCATCTACCACCTGTTTCGAGGCATATGGACCTGTTTCAGAAATCCTCTTCCTCCCAAACACGCAATCAGCACCATCTAAGCAGACAACCCTGACCATCTGTTTGGTAGGATAAAATCTTGCAATGCAATGCGTGTGTGTGTTATATCATGCTTCATAGAATCATACAGACTTCTGGGTTGAGGATCAATGCAGTTACATGTTGAAATATTTACATCCGCCTTGCTGCCCTGCCATGCTCTCCTGGTTTTTCAGTATTCCTCAAAGTATGAAGATTTCAAAGGCACTCCTTTTCATGGTGTCACCTGCTGGGCTTGTCTCGAAAAGTCAGGCATAGTTTATGTCTCTGTTATTTTGCGCTAATCAGGGGGTCTACTAATGTAAGAGGCACAGCCTTAAAGCAAGCTGGGGCAGCCCTCCACAGCAAGTGGAAATGAAGCCTGTAATATTCATGAGTCCATTTTCTGGCTGAGTGGGTGTCTTGAAAGCTACAAAATATGGCTCATTAGGAATGCTATTAGCCATGGAAAGGGCTGAGAAGAAAGCATGACATTTTGCTTTGAGGCATGCCACTGACAGATGTTTGAAACTGCGCATCAAAATCCATCACCCTGGACTATACCCATGCACTTGAATCTCTTTTAACAGGCCTGGCTGTTAAAGAGCATTAGCTGCATCAGACCTGAAAAGAGCTCTGGCTTTAAAAGAGTCATTATCATCAGCTCAAGTCAACACAGAACATTAAAGACAAAATCTGACAGACACCATTTGTACACACACAGTTCCTTCTGCAGCCCAGTGATAAAAAACAAGAACCAAAGCCTCTACTTTCCAAGAGGTATGAGCCTGATATGGATGTTTTGATCAAAGAGGATGACTTAAAATACTTCCTTCTCCCCACCATAGGGTCCTTTCATACATAATTATACTGCTATGATTCCACTTTAACAGCTACAGTTCAATCCCATAGAAGCCTGGGATCTATAGTTTGTACACAAGGCACTGGAACACTCTGGGAAAGAATTCTAAACATCTCTCTCTAAACTGCAAACCCCAGGATTCCACAGGATGGAGCCATAAAACTTAAAGTTGAATCATAATTGTATAATTCCACTGTAATTGTGCAGATTGTAAGGGTCCAGGGTTGCAATAACAACAGTTCAGTGTAACATGTAACTCAAGCACATTATGTTTCAACCAGAGCATAGAGGAATTATTTTCTTGGACCACACCTCCTAAAACTTCTCCAGCCTGTATGGAGCTCTGGAACTATGGTCCAAAAGTAACTTTCCCAAGTTCTCCTTTAAGCCATGGTTTTGCCATGACAGCTGAAATGAACTACAGATTTCATTTACTTATAGCATTTCAGTGCCACCCCGTAACTAAGAATCTCTGGGTGGCATATATAAAATTTATAAGAATACATACAAGTACAGCAAAAAAAAACTAACAACAAAAAAACAGCACAGCAAATATACATAAAATTAACAGTTTAAAAGAAAAAAGAAAAAAGCATTAATCCAGTTGATGGCCAAAAGAAGAAATAGTTAATAGAGGGCATTCTACAATCAGGGTGTTATCACTGTGAAGGTCAGTGTGGTATAGTTCCTGGAGTGTTGGACTTGGAATTTGGGAGATCTAGGTTCAATTCTCCACTAAGCCATGAAACTCATTAGGTGGCATTGGGTCAGTCACTCTCTTTCAGCCTTACCTACCCTCATAGGGTTATTGTGCTGGCTAAAATAAGAAGAAGGAGAGCCATAAAAACTGCTTTGAGCTCACTGGAACAAAAACTGGGACACAAGTGTAACTACTAAAGGCTTAACCAATTAGACCCTCTTTCTAATGACCATTTAACAAATGTCACTTTTTAGTGACATTTGGAGAAGGATCTGCACAGTAAGTTCACCTTATCCCCATCAAGTCATCTGCATCACTTTTTCTAATTCAATGAATACATTCCATGCTACGACAATACATTTTGACAGCGTTGTCACCATTATTCTCAGATGTCTTATCTTCAACCGAGCTATAGTTATTGACAGCAGGAAGACGTGGGTGAGGAATTAGGAAGAAAAGAAATTTGAAACATCCCTAGCAATTTTTCAGATAGCTATTTACTCAGTACTGTGTCAGTACCTTCTTTTTTTCATTTTTCATAAAGCAGATGGAGCTGAGCCCAAACAGGAGACTATGGTACAGATTCAAGCAAATACATTCTTAGAAGAGCTGTATGATTTACAAGGTACTAGCTGGAACATCTATCTGTCGCTGAGCTTGGTTAACATGTCCTGGAATAAAGTTATCAGCTCTGCATGCATAGTGCAGTAACATCGACACGAACTATATATAGTATCTACCACAGGCATTGTAGGATGTTAATAGTTAAGTATGCTAAGCTAATGTTTAACATATAGCAGGAGCAGGCGACTGCCAGAGGATAGAGGGCTGCCTTGCACTTTGCAACACACTGGAGGGCTATCCTCACCATCATCTCATCCCACAAAACTACAGAGGGCATGCAGGGACAATTTTGCCATGTTTGTTCTCTCTATTTTAGGTCCAGGACAGGCATTTATTTAACCAAAATAAATAAATAAATAAAACCAGAGGTTTAATTTAAAAAAAAAATCAAATGGGGGTTGAGAAGCACTCAAAAACTGCCCTTGGGAGCCACAAATTTCCAGAATTCTTTGAAGGAAGCTTGTTCATCTTTAGATTTTTAGAAATGGCACAAATCACCACTTCTACCTAGCCCAGTGATTGATTAGTCCAGACTTCCCAACATGGCACCCTCTAGCCAGATGTGGATGCTTTCTTCATGCAAGCTGTAGTTTAACATTCCTCCAAGGTGCCAGGTTGGGGAGCAATGACTTCACTCTTCATTTCTACAACAATACCAGATATCTGCCCTGGGTCACTCAATCTGCTCACTCTGAAAAATAAGAATCAGAATTCTGTTCAACTTTTATTCTTGCATTTAAGAAAGAGAAAAACTGCCAAGTTTTTTAAAAGGTTCAAAAGCCTGCAAGTCTTAATTTTTTATTTTTATTTTTGGCTAGCAAGCAATGCCCTTTTCATGTGCGGAGACCCCCAGAGGCATGTTCAAGTACTAAAGTGATCTATATCAGCATTTTACAAGTATTGTGGGAGCAAACTATATCCCCAAAGACGTGGTAGCTATGTATAGTGCTTTGAAAGCTGCTCATTGCCATGCTGTCATGTACATACCAACTCCTTGTCTTGAAGCTCTGTTTCCAATTCCTGAAGGCGCCTGCTCAGCTGCACATTTCTTTCTCTTTCCTTATTTATTTCATCACATTGTTCTTCCAGTTCCTCAATCTTAAGGGAGGAAAAGACAACAAGTTTAAGTCCTCATTTCTCCACTTACACTTGACTTTAAATAAAAATAGAAAACACTGTGGGAAGGGAATGCCTATGACAATACTGACTGAAAGACTGGAATAACAGAGGAGTGAAAGCCACTCTGCCATTAGTAGGATGCCTAAACTGCAAGCCCAACCTCAGTGTTGCTCTCTTACATTGCCCCTATCCAGAGAAATGTCCAAATCACCGTTCAAGGGTTCCTGTAGCTTTGTCACTGGGGCTTTGGACAGCAACAAGGCTCCATTTGTCCTCTCCCTTTCATCTGGTAGGTGCTTTTGCCCTGCACCTACCAGATGAAAGTGGCTCTTCCCCCTTCACTATGCAATGTGTTCCCACATACACTCATCTCAGTTGAAATTTCCAGGAGCTGGCTGAGTTCCATATGGGAAGCATTTTTTTTTTAATTTAAGAAGAGGTGTGTTGGTTTTTCCCCCAAAGAGAAAGAAACCAAGTCAAGAAGAGGAGTCTTTTTTGTTGTGATATGACTCCAAATTAAAAAGAAACACACTCATGGGTTGGAGTAAAATATTGCAACTGGAGTCAGGAATTGCCAGAAAATATTCTGGGATTAACAGAAATGCTGTTTCCATATTTAAAAAAAGAGAATGTGGCATAATGGTTTGAGTGGTGGACTACAATTCTGCAGACCAGGGTTCGATTCCCAGCTCAGCCATGAAACCACTGGGTGACCTTGGGCAAATCACATGCTCTCAGCCTCAGGAGAAGGCAATGGCAAACCTCCTCTGAACAAATCTTGCCAAGAAAACTCCACGAAGGGTTCACCTTAGTGTCACAATAAATCAGAAATGACTTGAAGGCAAATAACAACAAATATTTTTTAAAAAACTAAGAACTATAGCTTCAAATACTATAACATCCTGACACATGTGAAGCATCTAGTGGAGTCCATGTTTTATTTAGTGCAAACTATTACATAGGAGAGCCAACATGGTGTAGTGGTAGTGGTTTGGGCGTTGGACTAGGACACTGGGAAACCAGGATTCAAATCCCGATTCAGCCATGTAAACCCACTGGGCAAGTGACATTCTCTCAGCTTCAGAGGATGGCCATGGCACCCCCCCCCGAACAAACTTGCCAAGAAAGTCCTACGATAGGTTCACCTTAGGGTCACCCTAAGTTGGCAATGAGTTGAAGGCATGCAACAATCACATTACATACTGCAGCCCAGTTCCTCAGAAGCCTGGAAGCCTTAGTTTGCCAAGGAAACTCTCAAAGTATCTGATGAAGTGGGATGCAATACATGAAAAAGTACCCCAAATAAAACTGGTCACCAATAAAACACCAAAACAATAATAAATCATCTACTGGCATCTTAAAGACTAAGATGCCACTAAAGTCTTTTTATTGTATTATTGTCTTTTTGTTAAGGTAAATGATTGGAAGGTTGGCAGCTCGAGGCCCAAGCACTACAGGATGGAGTGAGCTCCTGTCACTAGTCCCAGCTTCTGCCAACCTAGCAGTTTGAAAGCATGTAAAAGTGCAAGTAGATAAACAGGTACCACTTTGTTGGGAAGGTAACAGCGTTCGGTGAAGTCATGCTGGCCACATGATCAATGAGTCGTCTTTGCTGTAATGGAGATGAGCACCACTCTTACAGTCAGTTAAGACTAGACATTCATGTCAAGGGAAAACCTTTCCCTAAAGAAGTGGTAGGAATCATGGCTCTGGAGTTGACCCAAACCTCCTCTGTTATAAAGCCCTTAATTCTGATGGTGTCCAGCTAACCACATGCACCTCCTGCTGAGCTACTCAGCACCCAGTGATGGTCAAATGGTTGGGCACCTCATTCTGACCTCAAGTCATCTCATTCTGACCTACTTGAGGGAGCAGCGGATGTGCTGGGCGGCTCAGAGGGATAGGTTTCAAACAGTCACCCAGCATGGGATCAACCAATGAGTTTTTGAAATCGGGGAGGGGGGAAGAAGAAGAGTAAAACCCAGTTCTGATGCTGAATGAGCCACCCATTGTCCAATCTGCATCTGAACTGGCCTTTGGACCATGTGTTGTCTGTTCTCCCTACCATTATATTAGGCTATGCAGATAGGGTCTCGGTTAGTCTCAAAGGCGGTACAAGACCTCTTTGCTTACTGATATTCCAGACTAACACAGCTATGTCTCTGAATTCATATTCAAATTGTCATGTTTCACCTGAGTAAATCAAAGTATGAACAAGTGCTTTGGCTATGCATTCAGCGGTATTGCTCCTACCTTCTGTAAGTAATCAAACAAGCCAGGAGGTCTTCCATTAACTACAGTTTCATATGTTAGGATTTTTTTTTATCACCTCTCACAATGACTGTAAAATAACCACTCTTGCTGGCTCCTTTTGCATTTTCATGTTGATTATACCCATTAGCTGAGGCCATTGTTCGTATATTTGATGAAATGGGCTACAGCCCACAGAGGTTTATGTCAAATAAAATTTTTCAGTTATTAGTTGCCACTAGACTTTCAAAAATAATTTCATACTTCTTTCCAAGAAGGTGTGGAACAAGCCCTGATACTATGCTATGATCTGAAATTTTATTAATGTAGACTTGTTCCAATAACTGTAAAATATGAGCTTTTCTGACTGATGTAAGAAACTTTAATCTATAGCTAATGGAAAACTTCCTGATTTGTTCGCTCTTCCAAAGGAGCTAATATGTACACTCGCCCCTCCACATTTGTGGCTTTGACTTTTGCGGCTTTGATTTTATTAATATGTTCTCTCTAGGAATAGCTAGGTTCCCCAGCACAACTCTATGGTCAACTTTAAGCAAAAGTCACACTGAAGGAGCTAGAGATTCCTAGAGAGAACACTTCACTAGGCATTTGAGGCTCTTCCAGTGCAATTCTATGGTCAATGTCTGGCAGATGTTGACCACAGAGTTCTACTAGAAGACCTAGAGATTCCTAGAAAGGTGTTCTCTCAGGTTAAAAAAGTGTTTTTGTTATTTGCATTTTTTCCACATTCATGGGGATCCTGTGCCCCTAACCCCAGCGAATGTGGAGGGACGAGTATATAGTCAAAAGCCTTGTTCAAACACAATAACTATTTTCAAAATGTAGGCCTCCATCAAAAACTGAAACCGCCAACACCACATGGCTATTCCAGTGTAGAACAATACTACATTAGTCCTGAAATCAACTTCAGTTGAGTGGGATTATTGTTACCAGTAGCACTAAGGAAAATAAATTCCACTGCTGTCAAGAAATCTCCACCGACAGTATATGGGCCAATTAAAAGCTTCTGACAGATCACACCATATTATTTTAGTGACAGTACACACTACTATTCTTGGACTGCAGCTTTAAATTATATAAGTTTACACCTCTTGGTTATTCTCCGCTGACATTTACATTCAACACATCAAATATGGGGAGGAAAGACACTGCTTCGTAGTTGCGCAGGCACGAATTGTGCTTTGACCTCCAATAGTTCTGAAGTACAAAGTAAACCCAAAGCATTAAACTGCTCTGAATGAAGATAAGGACATTGGCATGTGCTGTTGCTTTGCTTTTTTATTTTAATTTGTTTGAACTAGGGTTTCTTCCGTTTTATTTCTGTAATTCACCTGGAGGACTTCTCTTATAGGGTGACCAAATTAATTCTATAATTATACTGAAGGAAAGAAACAGAGGCTGCTGCATGGGGCTCCTCTGTCCAGCCACAAATTGACCCAGAAAATGGGCCAATTAATTTGTTACAAAGTACCTGACAACCTCTTTCCCATAGTTTTCCCCATATACTGCTTTGATACCTGAGATCCCACAAACAGAACCAAGTCTGGATTAGCTGTATCGTTGTACTGAGGATCAGTAAAAGATCAGTAGCTAGGGGCCTCATGGGACTACTGGCACTCTGTGTATGCACATAGATGTCCTTGTATTATGATGCTGTCAAGAGATACTTTCATGGAGAGAGGGGGGGTTGTCAATCACTCTCCTCCTGCCCTCCAAAAAAGTTGGTAGCATTTTCCAGCTGCAGAGCAAGTAAAGAGGTGGGTGATACACTGTCTAGCTAGAGCAAGGAATATGTCTCATGAGGAATATTGGGGTATCATGACAAAGCAACACATTATGAGCTCTTAATTTATTCTTCTTCTGTTTTTACCACCAGACATGGTCTTGATGACAGGTTCTGTCTCAGTTACCAAAATACCTTGCTTGGCCTTGAGTGCAAGTACTGTGTAAACCAAAATACCTTACAGTCATCAGATCTCACCTGATATTGGAAGCTATGCAGGGTTAGATCTGCTTAGTACTTGGATGGGAGACCGCAAACCAATATCAGGTGTTGTAGGCTATATTTCAGAAAAAAGAAATTGGCAAAACTACCTCTGAGGATTTCTCACTCAATAAAACTTTATGAAATTGATGGGGTCGCCATTAAGTCAACAGATGACATACACACACATACAAGGTGCTATGATTTTGTAGTGGGGGGGTTTAATTTACTGCTCATCCTGAGGTAGCAAAAAGGCTAGGGACAACTCTGGATCTCATTCTTTTCTCAGTGAATGCCTC